CCGGAAAGGTAGCAACGCGAATGGTGAAGTATGTTCAAGTATCCCCCATGACCAATGCAGCGGTGTGGGGAAGCTTTTCTTCCATTGGTGGCTTAACTAAGGGCTGTAAACATTACTCCATTTATTATAACCAAGGCTGTGAGCAGCCGTCAGTGCTCTGACACACGAGCTGGCAATGCTGTGATCCAGGCAGGCTAATCTTTACAGCCCTTATCACTCCCTTAGATCTCTGCCTTTGAAATGTAACAATAATTTAATAAAACTCGCTTCCCTTTGAAAATCAACTGCCTATGACATTTGTGTCGAGTGGAGTGCCATACATGGGCAGCAGTGGCACAGTAGGTCAAGGCATTTAAAAATATATTTATTTGTTTTGATAAAAAAGTCGTTTGTACATTTTGTTTTGGTGACTTTTCTCGATTTGTTTATTCATTTTAGATTTTGCTTGGTATTATGTTTTTCATCTGCTTGTGTGTGTGTTGGGCTTCTTTTTCGCCATGGCAGCCGACCGAGTATATGAGATTTGGTCCTTATATATAATTTAAGTACAGCGTTGTGGGATGCTGTTGGCATTAATGCCGCCATATAAAATTAAAGTATTATTTTTGCCATCTTAGAATAACCCCTACCACTATCCACATGGTGTGGGCAGGCCCTCATTCAGCAGTGGATTGAGCAAGGGCTGTACATGCACATGGCCATTGTATCATGAACACAATGGTTATTATACACCCGCGAGGAACTCCACAGAAAATTATGTTGCAGTTAAGATGCCACCTTTGTATTTCTGGGCCCTCGTTTGTGAATGTCTGTGCATCACACTGAGTGGAAGAGTTGTGGCCTGGGCTGGATTAGAGAATGGAGAAACCTATTTATGCGAGCAAGCGCACGTACAAGGTCGCGCTCGTTACACACAAAGTGCTTGCCACAAATGAACTATAATACCTTGCTGATCTCGTGGAGCATAAACTATCACGCAAACTCCGGTCATCCTCGCAGTGGTTTTGGATAACGGTCGAAAAAAAAATACGGTCACCGCATCGAGCACTTTCAGATGCGCTTCTGCGGCCGTCTGGAACGCTCTTCCTTCCCATGTTAGAAAGCCACCGAAGCTTTGCACTTTTAAAGCATCTAAATTGAAAACTTGAGAACTTCTCTTTGTTTTTATTTTTTTGTCCTTCCCCCGTACCTCCGATGAGCACTACTGGCTACATACGGTGCGAAAAAAGTTCAACATACGTACAAGCAAGCACACTAAGGCCCTGGGCTACAACGTTAAAGCCGTTCGACAGCTGCTTCACGTTACGGGATGGACCATTCCATATTTATACAGTTAACCGAAATTCTGTCAGTGAACTCGGATATAAATATGCCGTGATTACTGTCCCTTCTTTAAACAAATTATGCAATTTATGTTTTATTTAAACAGAGGAGAGCCCAAGGAAATTAACTTGTTCTTTAAGAGCAGTCTGGACCATCGTTGTTTTGGCTACATACGGTGCGAAAGAAGTTCAACATACATCCATACTCTACAGAAGTTAGTCGTAGCATTATTATTACTACTACGCTCGTTTACCCAGGAAAGCCTCACCGAGTCTCTACACACTTTTTCAGGAGGGTCCTGCCAAGTTTTTTTTCGCAGGAGTGGAAATGTTGCCGTGTGGAATCCCAATTGGGTAATTTGTATTGTGATGTTTAGCCATGACTAGTTGCATGTTATGGTTTTTTTTACCAAGGGAGGAAACGGGAGAACCAAGTGGAAATCCATGCAGGAACATGGGAGAGAAAACATACAAATTCTACACAAAAAGGTGTAAATGATGGTTAGAAATCGAACCCAGACTCTTTTGGCTGTGGGGGGCGAGTTTTACCACTGCGATACACATGCCGCCCTACTGCATATAATAATAATCAAAAAATATAAATGGCGATGCAAAATACGTCCTTTGTTAACGCTGTTACAGAATGGTAAACATCTGCCCTACAGCAGACCACGGGATTTGGTAATTCCCCATAGACATTCCCATATCGTGGCAGGAATCAAATAATCTATTCTATCCAAACAGCACCATTGCCAGGCAGGGTCATGCGGCTATCGAGCCACTTATCAATAAGGAAAAACCAACAGATCTTGTTGAACTAAGCTCACCAGTGTTGCTTTAGAATTCACCAAGTCTGCTACCTTGTGTCCGTCACTAATGCTGCGTGAAGTATACTTGCCGGCACTGAGTGCATGCTACCGTATTCTCTGTATTATACGACACGAGTTTTTTTTTTTAATCCCCGTGTATTTTAAAGCAACAGGGTGGAAGTGCGTCTGATGAATCCGGTCGCCGTGTGCGTGGCCAGATTTTCCACAAAGTTACATCGGGAACACGTTTTGCAGGTGCGTCTTATCTTCCAAAGCGTCTTACAATTCGGAGAATACGGTAAATGCAAATGCATTCTACACGTCTTAAGTGCGAGTAGGGAAAAGAGTCGTGCTTGTCGCCTTGTTTTAAATATAAATACACCATCATCATCACATCATCAGGACCCATGGGCAGATAGTCCGTAGGTGTCCACTGCACATGTCGTCATTGGTTTCCACTTTCCTCTCTGTCTACTGTGCCAATAAGCTCAAATAGTTGGCAAACATCTCTCTGGCACCAACCTCTTATCATGTCGTCATCAACACGTTCTCTGTTACGTATTCCTCTCTTTCCGGTTCCTTCTATTTTTCCGAACAACAACAACAATTTTAACGTCCCTAGTGTTGTCCATCCTACATACAACCACAATGAATGAGCGATAAAGGTGTGTTGATGAGAAAGGGTGCTTAGGGGTATTGCTGCTGCACAATGCCTGATTACCAACCACACAATGGTGGTATTGGGTAAGTGAGATTTATGAGCGAGGTCGCTTAGCCAAGCTCTAACACCTGACTGAGTGTTACTGGAGATGAGCCATCAATTTCCCCGTCAGCGGCACGTATAACGTTCCTACACGTGTCACCATGGCCCTGCTCCATCATAACTCATCAAACCCTGACAGCAGGAAACCAGCCAAACGCATTCGTACAAGCAACACGCAGTTGGTAAGTTTAACGCTATTATTACCCCTACAGCTACGCTTGTTTACCCAGGAAAGCCTCACTCAGTGTCACGACTCTCTTTCAGGAGACTCCTGCCAAGCTTTCCCAGTGGGTGGGCGATGGTGGTATGTGTAGTCCCAATTGAGTAATTTGCAGGTACATTTTTTTGAGGATTTGGATCGTGCTCATCGTCAGTGAGTATTGCACGGTTGTTTGAGCTTTGTGAGGAAAGCTTAGAACCTGGAGGAAACCCATGCAGAAACAGGGAAAGTACAAATGCCACACAGCATGGGTCAGAAATCGAATCCAGGCCCTTCTTGCTGTGAGGCGCGAGTTTTACCACTGGGGCACGCTTCACCGCAGCTCAAATTGAAGATTCAGAATAGAAATGTCGCGCAAGATTTAAACAACTGGGCTGGGTGATGCTAAGAAACGAGTGTTTTTAACCTCACCGTGCGTGCTCTAACACAGAGCTGCTGTACGTAACCCAGGGTTGAGTTTTGTACAGAGTGACAATTTATCTCTTCCTTCACTCGCCGCTGCCAGTCCTACATCCCCCCGTTGGCATTCCCATGTTTCATTCAACTAAATATGCAGCCCCGGGCAGGCCCAGGAGGAATATTACATTCTCTCCACGGGATGCATTTCCCCCCCACCCCACCCTGCATTGCCCTCCGTGGCCCTGTAACTGACTCCAGTGAGGCAGGCGCCCAGGTGAGAAATCCAGATGAGGTCAAGAGGTGCTTGGGCAGCGATTATGTACGAATGGTGTTTTTTTTCCAACAAAACAAAAATAGAAACGTACATTTATTATCAAGAGCTGTTTGAGATATTGCTTCTTCGTCTTCTTCTTCTTTATTTAATTTGCGTCATAATTACCGAGTTGAGATTTTTTTTTCCTGCGCCTTCGATTCGCGCGGTTGGCTACGTATGGGGCAAAAGAAGTTAAACATAAATACATTAATTTAGGTAATTATAATAAGATAAAATGTCGCAATTCAGGGTCACAATCTGATTCAAGAATCGCTGATTTTAATTGCTTCCCATTTGTTCCATCTCGTTTGGAATTTTTTATTTCCTCGAGACCACGTGTAAAATTGGCCCATACCTTGCATGCACCGTAAATAGCCAATTCCTACAAACACACATTATTGCATGTACTGTGAGTATAAATGTCTGTCTGGATCAAGTGAAATTATTAATCGATACACACCTACCCATTTGACGGTGAGATGGAGTGTCCATCGCCATTGAATCAAATCACGTTTAAAAGTCGCAAAGCTGGAAAGTAGCCAAATTAGACCAAACACCAAATTGGACTGTGTGTGTTTATTGTGGAACCATTGGTGACTGAACTGTGACCATCGATCCATTGCACTGGAGAGATCCATACAGAACCCCGGATCTCGGCCGAGTCCAGGTCTGCGTTTTGATTCCTGAGTCATCTGGCAACTGCCTCGTAACAACCGATTGTACTCTTTGGTTTATTCAGCAGCAGGAAAATCGCCCCCCATCTGACAAAACAAATACACGGCGGGTCCCTCCACAACAAGAGTCTTGAGACTCGATGAGGATTCTTGGGTGAGCGAGTGTCACGATGATGATAATAATAATATGTACTATCAACTATTTTTTATTTTACCATGTAAGGCCCACTGAGCTATGTAGCTCTTTTCCAGAAACGACCTGGCCACAAATGATAGCTCAGGCTTATTATTACGTGGGAAATTATAGCAGCCAAACACTCTCAAGGCGTGTTACTAAACGTGAGAGGCAAAACCCCAGAGGACCCACGAGCAGAGAGACATGCAAACTCCAAACATGCAGGCGTCAGGGTCGGGGTCGAACCCACGACCTCCTGCACACCGGGGCGCCACCGTGGCGCCCTCACGCTAGTTGACGACTCAGGGACGGCGTGGCGTCTCACCAGCGTGCGCCCCCTGTCCGCGGCCAGGGCCCTCAGATGCAGCAGCGTCCGGCGGCGACGGCGGCGAAACGACTGCCACGGCTCGGCCCACGAGTCGTTCAGCAGCATCTCCGCGCCCGTCATGCTCATCTGGGCTCGCACACGAAGACAAAGAGGGCCTTTGACACAGCGTTCTTCACTGCAAGGCCCACGCGCCACTGGTGGCCCCCCGGTGGCCTTTAGTGCGGCCTCTGACAAGCGGCCCCTGACAATAGACAACATGAAGTGAAAACACCGCCTCATCATCATCGTGCTGCTGCTGTCAAACCACAATGGTGTCAAATGTGTGGCGGCCCTCACGCTGATGATGTCTTATCGGTGAAAGTGGCACCCATCTGAAAATGTGTGAAAAACACGGCTCTAACAGATTGCCTTGAACGGTAGGTAAGTACATTGGTAAACGCGCAACTCTTATAAACTATATAGGTTACAAGCTCCATTAAACAGTTATGTCTTGTATGTTCTATTGAGCTGGTTAAATGTCTGTAAAGGGTCTCGAATATCACGCAGCGCCAGTGAGTTCCAGGCTGATGAACCGCTGAGTAGGTGAGTGGGTGGGTGGGTGAGTAGGTGAGTGAGTGGGTGGGTGGGTGAGTAGGTGAGTGAGTGGGTGGGTGAGTGAGTGGGTGGGTGAGTAGGTGAGTGAGTAGGTGGGTGGGTGAGTAGGTGAGTGAGTGTGTGGGTGAGTGAGTGGGTGGGTGAGTAGGTGAGTGAGTGGGTGAGTAGGTGAGTGAGTGGGTGGGTGGGTGGGTGAGTGAGTGGGTGGGTGAGTAGGTGAGTGAGTGGGTGGGTGGGTGAGTAGGTGAGTGAGTGGGTGGGCGGGTGGGTGAGTGGCACACGGGGGGGGGGGGGTGGCCAGCACCACGCCCGGCCGCATTTGTTTCCCCACTGCCGATGCTTGCACACCACACCAGGTACTCATTTAAGACTGAGTCTACCTAGGGGAGCGCCATGACCGGTTCAAATATTCGCCAATGTCATTTGTTGTTGAGTGGGAATCGACCTCGGGTCGCCAGATTATTTTGCCCATTGCGCTGAACATTTGGGCCACTGCTCCCTACTCGTCAGCAAACACACAAACACACGTCCTGCCGATAGACTAACAACACCGCGACAACAGTTGGTATTTATTTACAACGACGTGATACCAACACCCCCTATACCCAAATCACCTGGAATGCGCCAATCCTGTTAAAACTGAAAATCTATGCAAATTTGAGCCTGGTTAATGCTTGTATGGGCCACCGTCATGTATAACAGGTATTATAGGTCGCGTTATTACATGGTGGGCAGAAACAGGCCATTGCAGCAAAAGCCTTGTTTTGTACCGTACTTATATGCTTCCCACCGCTGTGCTCCCAGCCTATCGCCAACCGTCAAACACCAGCACGGTGAAGTATGGTCAAATGACCACCACGACCAGCACGGTGAAGTATGGTCAAATAACCACCACGACCAGCACGGTGAAGTATGGTCAAATAACCAAACAAAGCTGTTCACGCGCAGCGTCGCCACGGCACCGGTGCCAGGCTCGGTGCGCTCTCCGAGGCTCGCCTGGAGAAGGCTCGAGGATAGGAGATGGTGGAGATGGGCCCAGATGTTGCGTATTAGCACGTAGGAGCGAATGGCGCTTGTGCCGACTGTATCCTCTGAGCTCCCTTTGAAGTGCCAGGCCCTCTGCTTCCTGTTATTGCTTCCATGGTGGCTGCTAGCAGCTGGCCCTGTCCCATGTTTCGTGCGCCCCGTCCTGGAGGGACCAGTCACAACCCCGCTGTTACCACACCGCCTTGGCTGGCGCTGCTATTGCACCCACAAGCTAGTGATGCTGTTTTGACACCTGAGTGAGACCCAATGAAGATTGCAACGGGCTTGCAGCGGCACAGACAGCGAGAGGCTCAACACGTTCCTCAATAAGACTGTGGCCTTCAACGGACAAGTATAGAATAGGTGACGTTTTGGGCAACGGCCCTTCCGCAGAGCACATGAATTGTAGCAGCTCGGCATGCTGGCTCTGTCACCGGGAATCGTGAACACCGAAGTTCACGTTCTAATGCTCCCGTGGGCTGGCAGTGAGTACAATCCTGCAGGTACACACGTGTACACATGATGGCACAGTACGGATGTATACACTTTTCACACCTATCAACTCACATGTTGGTTAACTACGGGTATTTTACATCCAAAAACTCATGAAATATCATTGTTCACATCCCAGAGCGTCTAACTTCATAACGTTTAGAGCAAACGCACATTACACAGTCATGAATTGTACTGGCTGTAAACTTCAGCATAAGAGGATCCATACGTATCTTGGTGTGTGTTTAGCACCGCAGTGGTGGGATGTTAACTCCCTCGCCTGGTATGCAGGAGGTCCTGGGTTTGATCCCGACTCTGACGCCTGTATATTTGGAGTTTGCATGTTCTCTCTGTGGTCGTGTGGATTTTTCTCCAGGTCTTCCGGATTTTCCCTCCACATTTAGAAACAAGCAATTATAGAGTATTTGGCTGCTATGAATTTCCACGTGATAATAAGCCCACATAGTTGAGCCAGTATTTGCGGCCAGGTCGCTTCTGAAAAAGCGTTACATAGCTCAGTGGGCCTTACCTGCCAAAATAAAAAGAGTTTCGTTTAATAGTTTTAGAAAAAAAACTATTCTACGTGACTTTACCGAAAGACCCAACTAATATGAATTCCTGCAGTCACGAAAGCTTTAAGTCAAGATTTAGAAAGCAGTACTTTTGCCCACCTTCCTCGCCGCGTTTTCGATCGTTATCGCTCATCTGTCAAGACGCTACCTCTAGGGCAGATGCTCGGTCACTTTTGGCCATGCGAACGCCATTTCTGTGCTTCGTCTCCGACGTCACCGTTCCCCCTTCACATGCGAAACCTCTTCGTAAAGCGCGGCCCCAATCGCGCGGTTTGCTGCACGTGGCTGTAACGATGCCTTCTGACCATTGCCGGCCCTGGTCACCTGTTTCGAATGGAAATACAAACCGTGTCGAGATGCGCACGGAGCCCGTAGCGAGTGAAGCTTTCAACAACCCCCCGCCCCCCTAGCCTACTGACATCTTCATCAATTGCCTCCATCAGACCGGTAATAACTAAACATGTTGTTGCTCTATGGGACCTTTTTTTTTGCCAGTACCAAAATTATCAGAGAGAAAGATGTAAGAATATGCTTTACCCCCTTTCTGGCAATCGAACAGGTGTTAAGATGGCCAAACACCAGATACCTATGGTTAATACAGACCCGACGCCTTGAAATCGGTATCCATTTGTTGTTTGAACATCTTAACGCCTGTTTTAGTACCCAAAAGGGGTAAAGCCTATTCTTATATATTTATTGTTTTTACCTTATTGTTGCTACCATTCTGACATAGTAGGACACGCTTTACTTCGGGGCGTCTTGTCCCTGGCTTTTGGGGAAGATTAAACGTCGACAAGCAAAGGAGTAGAATGTGCGAGCTTTACTGGACAAGGTTGTTATTGGTGTCCTCCAATCCCGGTTCCCATTTCTGGCGACGGTTCCCTCTGCCTGAGATTGGGCCCCTGTGTCGCAGTCAGAGGCTTCGGTTTCCGCCTCTGCGCTCCAACGGTTCTCGTGGTGTGTCTACGACGGCACACTCCTTCCTGAGCTACAAAGTGAACAGCACAATGAAGAGGGGACAGGCTTTATGCCCTAATTAGTCTGCACTAATTAGGGTGGCGCACGCTGATAGGAAACAAAGCCCTCACAAGCGCCGATGGGGTCCATCACGGAACAGTGTGGGCGTGCTTTTGTCTGTCTTTGTTTCGTGTAGGGAGCGGTGGCGCAGTGGTTAGCACACTGTGACCTGAGCTTGATTCCTGCTGACTGGCAACATCGGTGATGCAAATCTGGACCTCCCCTAGGTCGACTCAGCCTAAATGAGTACCTGGAGCGATGCGTAAACATCAGCACTGGGGAGGCAAAGGCGGCCGGGCGTGGTGCCAGCCATACCACCGCCTTCTGCGCAGTGCCGGCCTTAATAGGTGCTCGTTAACAGCACTTGCCCCAACAGTCTGTACGGTTACGAGAAATATCGTTGTGTTGTGGGCGGAGTGGTGCCGTGGTGGTTGAGCAACTTGCTAGATTCCTGGGGCCCCTAGTTCGAGCCCTCACCCGTGCACAACCTCAGTGGGAAGTGGCACCTGAAGATACTGTGGGGCTTTCCCTCCGTTGGTGTGGTGGGTGCCAGAATGCGGTGTGCATGCCGTCTGGGAGTGCTACTGGCCACACCACTGCCTCGTGTGCCACACTGGCCTTCATAGTTGCTTGCTAAGAGGAGCACCTGTGGTTCGCGAGACTTCAGAGGGGATCTTTTTGAGGATGGAAGGAGAGAGAAAGTGAGAATTGCAGTCCCAGCCAGAGGCTGGGGTAATAATCGCAGGGTTACAAAGTAAGGATGTAGAAATAAAAATGTGTTTGGAAAATGGGATTTTAAAAAAATAAACATTCAAATAGTCGAGGGAAATAAGAGCAGAAATTGGAGATTTGCTCAAGGTTTTAAAATCAGTGGAAACTAAAAAAAGGTGGATGCCCATGCATCCCAAGTTAAATGTGTACAAGGTAAAGATGTGCGTACGTAAAGTGCAAGGAAGTCCGTGCTGTTTTCACAAAGCAGTTGTTAACACATATATATTTGTAACCTAAAGCAACGTATTGTACGTCCAATCCCACCAACAGTTTCTAGGGTTGGTATCAAAGACAAAGATCCCCTCCCCTGTAGCCTTAACAAACTGGTGGGGCAAGCGCTGTGAGCGAGTGCCACCTAAGAAGGCCGGAACGGCACACGAGGGGGTGGGTGGCCAGCACCACGCCCGACCGCCTTTGTCTCCCGAGTGGCGATGTTTTCACATCGCACCAGGTACTCAATTGAGGCTGAGTTGACCTATGGGAGGCCCAAGACCGGTTAAAATAATCGTCACCGGTGTTGGCCGTGAGCGGGATTCGAACTCAGGCCGCCGGTTTCGTTGCGCAGTGCGCTAAACCGCTACACTTCCATTTCCCGGCCGACAATTCCAAAGTTGCCATCGAGCATACACAGACACACGTATGGTCATACTGGACAGGGATATCAGGAGTGGGTACATTTGTGTTCAGAAGTGTGTTCTCCACAACATGCCGTTTTTCTGGTTCAATTCCCAGAATCTGTTTTTCAAGAAACCAGACGCATGAGATTGGCATTTTAATTCTGGAAAGTTGGCACACTAACGATTTGCTATAATTCATCTCACGTGCTGATTAATCCGATTCCAATGCGCCATTTAGAATGTTTATCGCATTTGAATAAGCTGTCCACTTAATCTGTAGGGGGGGGGGGGTTTCGCCGTCTGCCTCATTAGCTGAGCTCTTTCCTCTGCATGTTCTCGCTCGGACTGCTCCGCATAAGAAAGGGAAGTGCTGTCAGCAAAAAATGCAGCTTCACGTACCGTGACTCAAAGGAGACTCTGTGTAGGGGGTTAATTCTTAGCTCGCTGAATGTATGGGCTGCCGGTCACTAAAAGTGCCCTCTGCTTCACGGTTCATTAGGCCTTTTTTAAATAACAAAAACAAACCTTCCACCCCGTGAATCAATTACCAACAGTGGGGGGGGGACGGACGGACCGCTGAGGAGGGCTAAAGGGCTCGCTCCCCTAACGGTAACGGCCCATTCACGCGCCGCCATTCACAGTTGTTGCACCATGAAGCGATTACAAACCCACTCGTCACGCACACGAGCAGTGCTCGTGCTGCAGTGGCATGTCCAGGGTGGTTCCGTGGCAGATATGCTCACCGAGAGAGTCTGTCAGTACACTTCTCGGGCAGTTGTAAGGAGAGATTGATAATCGTTAACGTAGCAATCCCAAATTTCTCATCTGCCAATTTTTCTTTCTCTTCGGATTTTTGTTGGATACAACGACCACAAGAATTGCTGAGAATTGGAGTCTCACGTGCTTTTGTTGAAAGTGACAAATTTTGTTGAAAGTGACCAATTTTGGTCACTTGTCTTTGATTCATCCTGATGATCATATAACTTTTCTAAAGAAATCTATATCTTTTTTTTACTCAGCTCAATGTATGCTTAATTTTAGGACGTAAAAAATGTGATCAAAATATTGTGATGACAAAATTACAACGGCATAACCTCCTCCATGTAGGCTTACCCGATACATGAATAAGGCTACATTTTAAAAGCAATATTATTTTTGTGACTCCTAGACATCCAAAATGAATAGATCGTTTAGTGGTGGCAAGTCCCCAGAAACATGGTTATAATTATTGAGTGTGTGTGTGTGGGTTGGTGTGTGTCTGGCAAAACAACCCCCTACCTCCTCGCGGTGCCGGATGGGAAACTCTGTCGTGGACAGTGCTGTGGGGGGAGAACCAATTCCGATTTGCCTCTCCCCTCATGGCGTCTGTGACCACCACAGGGGCTAAACGGGGGGCTCTGGAAGGGTGCGTGGGGCTGGTAACCCCTCCACCTTCAAAAATTTACCACGAAACCACGAATTAAAAATGTAACAACTAAGCTTGTGCCGGAGGCCTCGGGGGGGGGGGGGGGGGGGACAGGCGTCTATGACGTCTCCTGGCCAAACCCCAATTGGCGGAGCCAGGAGATTGAAGCTCTACCCTCGGGGCTCCTCCAGAAACAACGAAAAGCCACTTCGTGTGGCCACGTGGAATGTTCGAACGCTCACTGCGGAGGAGAGGCTGCCACTCCTCTGTCGGGAGCTGGACCGGTACCGCCTGGATCTCTGTGGCATTCAGGAGGTCCGGTGGACCGGTTCTGGCTCCTGCCACCATGAGGGGTGGACAGTCCTCTACTCGGGGCAGCAGATTGCCAAACAACAGGGTGTGGCTCTTCTTTTGAACAAAATAATGAAGGGTGCGTGGAAGTGTGGCGGTGAGGTGTGGGAAGCTGTAAGCCCCAGGCTACTTTGGGCTCGCCTTCCCATCAACCGGAGGCGAGGAGTGGTGGTCGTGGTTACTTATGCCCCCACCGAAGACGAACATCCGTGGAGGGATGCAGGCAAAACCGATGAGTCAGATGCCTTCTATGATCTCCTGTCACAGGTGCTGGCTAAAGTGGCCCCTCGGGATAGAGTCATCTTGTTGGGCGACTTCAATGCCCGAGTTGGTCATGATGCTGGCACTTGGTCTGGAGTGATTGGAGGGCATGGGCCAGATCAGCTCAATAACAACGGTAGGAGGCTGCTAGATTTTTGTGCAGCCCATGGGCTTATAATTACCAACACGCTGTTCCTGGACGTGGTGCTGGCAACCCACCCCCACATGTGCCGTGCCAGCCTTCATAGGTGCTCACTACCAGCACTTGCCCCAACAGTCTGTTAAGGCTGGCTATAGGGGGGAATGTGTGTGCTGGCATGTGGCTTGGTGCGTGTGTGTTCTGTGTGTTTGGCTTGGTGCATATGCCGGTGTGCTCTGCAGGCCGGTGAGGTCACCTGTAGCTGCAGGGGGTTAGCTGGGCGGTCCAGTTTGCAGGTGAGGGGCCCCTCGGTCGCCAGCTCCAGGAGGTAGAGCACAAACTGATCCTTGAGCTTCTCCGGCAGGGCCACCTCCAGCTGGCTGGGCCCCACGCTGGCCGGGCCGCTGTTGCGCAGCTGTCGGCACGAATTCACAACGCGCGGCTCTTAGATTAACGTCACAAAAGCAGTTCCATTGTAAAGCCTTTTTCCTCGGGGCAGGGGGGTGGGGGAGGCGGAGAATGTCGGCGGTGGTGCGGCAGGAGGCGCCCGCTCACCTCGTAGACGTGCAGCACCAGCGGCCCCACCTGCTCCTCGGTGCTGAGCTCGGCGCTCGGCGGGGCCCAGTCGGGCAGGGGCAGCACCAGCTGGGGCGGCAGAGACACCCTGGAAGGCACGCACGCTCCCCCGGTGACTACCGAACACGCGTGTTGTGACCATCGTTGTGACGGGGGACAGGGTAGCAGCAGCGCAGTTGCGACACTCGCGCCTCACAGTAAGAAGGGGCCTGGGTTCGATTCCCGACCTGGGTTAGTTTTCTGATGGAAATTTTGTTTTTCTCTCTTCCCCTGTTCTGCGTGGGTTTCCTGTGAGTTCTCCGGTTTTCTGCCATAGCAATGTAGCTGGCATTGGCCGATCAACCAAATTCAGAAAAATAACCCTCAAATCACTCAACTGGGATTACAGCAGCAACATCGCCTCCTACTGTGAACACTTGGCAGGACCCTCCTGAAAACGAGTCTTGAGACTCGGTGAGGCTTTCTTGGGTAAAAGAGCGGAATAATAAGAAATCCTTCGGCTCTCAATACATGCATTCCGTGTAAAACAATGTGTGTCAATATTAATTTCCACATATGGCAATGTATTGTACCAACAAAACAGAAAAACGTATAGATAATGCTATTATCTGTGCATGTCGAACTTATTTCGCACCGTACGTAGCCAACCGTGCTAATCACAGGTGCAGGGGAAGGACAAAAACTAAACACAAAAAGGCAGTTCAGAAGAAGTGGGTTTTCAATTTAAAAGTGCATAGCTCGAGTGACTTCCTAACATCGGAAGGAAGAGCGTTCCAGACGGCCGCAGGGATGCATCTGAAAGCGCGCGATGCGGTGACCGTCTTTGTTTGATGGTCAGCCAAAAAATAATAATAGCCGGAACATATCAGACCGGCAATACAAACGAGACGGTACGAACACGGAAACAAAATAGAGCCTTTACCAAAACAAATCGCGACCGGGTATCGTGAAACTTTATCTACGCGCGGAGGCTGGGTCATCGCACTCCGCTAAACTCACGCACACGCTGCAGATGCTCTCACATTGCTGTGCGACAATGACGGTTCACGTTGGCCCCGATAAAGGAATTAGGGTCAGCGGAAATGTGTGTGTGTGTCCACTTGTTAGTGTGGGGAGCAGTGGGTAGCGGTGGTGCAGCAGTCACCGTGCCGCACTACGAACCCGGTGACCCGAGTTCGATTCCCTTTCATGGCCAACGCCGGTGACGATTAACTGAACCGATCGTGGGCTTCCACTAGGTCGTCTCAGCCACTGGGGAGACAAAGGCGGCCGGGCGTGGGGCTGATCCACCCACCCCCTCACGTGGTGCTACAGCACTTGCCCCAAAAGCCTGCTGAGGCCATACGGGGGACTGTTGTCTTTGCACTCACTAGGGTGGGACGGTGTGAAGCTGTGAACTCAACGGGGCAGAGGCCAGGCCGTGTTGCTTTAGCACCACGCAGCGAGAAGCAGGCGCAGCGAGAAGCCGGCAGAGCGAGAAGCCGGCGCAGCGAGAAGCCGGCAGAGCGAGAAGCCGGCAGAGCGAGAAGCCGGCGCAGCGAGAAGCCGGCGCAGCGAGAAGCCGGCGCAGCGAGAAGCCGGCAGAGCGAGAAGCCGGCGCAGCGAGAAGCCGGCGCAGCGAGAAGCCGGCGCAGCGAGAAGCCGGTGCGTCTTACCCACGGAGGTCGAGTTGAGCGAAGACCCTGACAGGCAGCGTCACAGCCTCAAACACGTGCTCGTGGGGCTCCTGGTTCGCACTGCACAGGCGAGAAGACAAAGGGGCGACGCGAATGAGGACGCTCGCGCAGCGCAAGGCAACAGAGACTCTGCGACGACGGTGGAGGGGAAATGTTGTCTCCGTTGCCGAGCACGCAGAAAGTCGTGGATTTGATACCGGACCATGACGATGCCTGTTGTATATTTATAGTTTGCGTGTCTCTCTCTTGTCTCCCAGTGGTGGTCGCATGGATTGTTCTTAGAGTCCTCCGGTTTTCCCCTCTACATTTAGAAAGACGCGTTCAGATTATGTGGCTGCTGCTATGAAATCCCACATGCGGTGATGATGATGATGAAGCCACTTCGATGAGCTATCATGTATGGCCAGGTGCCCTCTGACAAAGAGCTCATAGCTCAGTGGGCTTTTTCTGGTAACATAAAAACAACTAGATCAATTAGTTTAGTTTATATCGATGAACCAGCACTTTGGCATGATGTCACAGAGATGACAGAGAACCTAAACAAAGTCGTGACTGAACAATTGTCAGGCCCGATTCCAGAGCAGATCGGAATGCGGTGAGGCGGAAACGTTCCCCACACACATTTCGCTCACTGTATTGAGGAACTTGCCTCGAGGAGCTCGTTCATATGAGCCAAATGGGCAGAGCCCAAAAGCGCCCCCACAGATAACAGCCAAATCACTGTACTGCGGCAGGGTCGGGTGATACACACGCATTATACACACACACACACGTGTCAACTAATTCACACGGCTCACAGCCTCCTTGAAGACGCTCTCTGCAAAGCGGGGAAATCATTCCGCAAAGTGCAGACTGGGTCGTGCAAAGTTGCGGGATGGGATCTACAAAGATGGGAGCGGCTGCAGCACGTGCGGAATAGCTCTTGCGCTTTGTAAAACGACTCCGTGCTTTCATGAGTCCCGGAGTGTGAATTAGGAGGAGGCTTGGAAAGCCACAGCGGGGAGCACCACTGCAACAACTCAACACCCAAAAAAACTTTTATTATTTTTATTTTATTTTATTCACTTTATTATGATTATTTTTTCTATCCATGTTACCAAAAGAACCAAAGAATATGAAATCCTGCAGTCACGAAAGTTTTAAGTCAAAAGTTAACTCAACGCATCCACGATAAGCTCCGAAGAAGAGGGCCCTTTGCCCAAATCGTCACCTATTATATAGTTGTTTATTTTAATGCCAAAGTATTATTGACGAATGTATCGAGTTTATTTTAATTAGGTATTCGTGCGTATCACTGCCAACGCGGCGGCATCACCAAACAATGCGATCAACACGCATGGATAGGACGTAAGGGTCGTTATTTAACCAGGAGATGAAATTAACCACAACGGTGACCGTAGTTTGACCGACTGATGTGAATTCTAAATTATTTTAGAGACGAGGCAGACATCTCGTCGAGCCCACGTTGATGACCAGAGAACACTAAAAAAAAACCTTTTTGGAAAAAAAAATGTTGGCCACCAACAACAGCGGACTGCTTTCACTTATTGAGCAGGGTCATCGGAACGTTGTACAGTACATTGCTTCAAGTCTAACGCTGAACAATGACAAATATACAACCATCATCAGCCAACCGCTGAACAATGACAAATATACAACCATCATCAGCCAACCGGGTAATTCACCTCCCACAGCGCGTGACCCTATCAGCAAACGCTAGGCCGCTACCGTTTACTCCTTGTATCTAAATTAACACCGACAGGGTCAAGAGGTCATCGCAACCAATGCCACTGATAGCAACACAAGTTGCCATCCTGCAACTGTTGCTACAGTCGACCACTGAGATCTGAGGTGTGCCGTACGGGCTCAGTGTGAGGCCAGTGCACGACCATCCCAAACCACGGCCATCTACTTCATCCGTGGAATGTGCACATAAAGGCCCAACGGGTCAAAAACAATGTTGGATTTGTTCCAGAAACTTTGGAACCATTCCAACCAAGGTAAAAACCATCGCCGTAGTGGCTGCATCGATGGCTTTTTGCCGTGACGCACTTCATTCTGGGGGGGATTTAGAACTCATTTTGTCAGAATAGAGGAGCCTCCCAATGGCCTCTTACCGCTTTCAGGATTCGGCATTTTCACGTAGAGAAACTCACACCATAAACTGACGGTCACTCCAAAGTTTCTGGCCGTGTTCCAGCTCAATTCTAACTCCGCCCTCCCTCTGTGCGGAATGCATTAGGCCGAATGCAATCCCCACAAATGGCGGAATTAATCTGCGTGTAAATCTGGGAGAAGTTCCACCTCAATGTCCTAGACAAGAGGCCATCGGTCCACCACAAGGAGCCGAACGATGCCCCCGCGGGCTGCTTAAGTTGGGCCTCCATCTTCCACAAGTGTACATTTAAACTAAAGGGAAACCATTTAAAATTCAAGCTGCATCACTTCTGTGCCAAGTCCGGTAACTCTCGTGCTGATGTCAATGCAAATACATTGCAGTAGGTATCATATTGTGACAAAGATGACAAAGATAATCCTGTGTGAAAGCAGCTGGTATGGGCATCTGAGCATCATTTTCTACTTCTCTTTTAGTTACCAGGTAAAGCCCAATGAGCTATTAGCTCTATTTTTTCAGAAGCGACCTCACCACAAATGATAGCTCAACGAAAGTGGCTTATCATGTGGCTTATCATGTGAAAAAATACACATGACCGCTCCAAATATACAGGCGTTAGGCTCGCGATCGAACCCACCACATCTTTCATACCAGGCGAGGGAGAAAACATCTCACCAAGGGGAGCATCTAAAGTGTTCACGTGAACTTAGCAATCTTCATCAACATCAAACATGTCTCAGAGTATGGTGCGGCGAGTGGCGAGTTTATTTAGCTGCAGGACAACGTAGCCGCCGCTGCGAGAAATTTTGATTCCGAAGAACAGAATAGAGGCTATGGCTTGGAGACTCGCGGCACCAGCAGCATAAATAAAAAAACAGGGCCCTGCGTGCGGGAGAGGGCGTAGAGTTAAATGTACCCACTGCTGACAACACTTCCATGTGGACGTGGCTTATTTATTTATATAATTTGGCTTAACAGCTGAAAACTAATCAGTGTGTTATTCCTCTGCTGCCAACTCTAGTCATATCAAAAAAAATATTCTGTGTGTCGGGACGTCATCCACATTGCGTTACAAATGCAATTATTTTCAATGGCGAGATGTTAATTATCTCGCACGGTGTACAGGAGGTTATGGGTTAGATCCAGACCCTGACGATGCCTGTATATTTTGAGTTTGCGTGTCTCTCTCCCCCCATGGTTCCGTGGATTTTTCTCCGGGTCCTCCCGGTTTTTCCCTCAACATTTATAAACATGCGTTTAGCGTATGACTGCTGTAGATTTCCACGTGACAAGACACTTCGTTGAGCTATCATTTGTGGCCAGATCGCTTCTGAAAAAGAGCTAGATAGCTCAGTGGGCCTTAACCTGGTAAATGTTAAATTGTAGATAGTTTTAGTATTGCCAAATTAATAAGCAGACAATCTGCCTCCTTTCTGTATGTCTCTCCACATGAAGATATATAACATATTTTTACAGAGCCTGTCATTTGGGATTGTATTCTTTCAGCATTGATTTAATGCAGCACTCCCAGAAAGCCGTGTGGCTGAAGGGATGTGTGAAAACAAACCCCATACTTTTATTTCCTAATGCGGAGAGACAGATATGGGAAGATGTATTGTCTCCTTATTTAGTCACTTGTATTCCAAAACGGAATTGGTGATTATTTTGTGACAGGACGGGCCAAGTGATTTAGTCCTGGATTGTCGCCAAACAACGCAAGCCTGCTGACTGTGATGTAAACGAAAATCAGACTCATTTTGATTTCCAAAAGAGGCTTGGAAAATCGTCAAACTTACACAATATGTAAAGGAAGCGGCGTTTTCTCAGGACATTCGCAAATCCGCTGGTTTCCCACCAATAACAAATAACTTTTGCAAACAATAAATATTAAAAGCCTGCCGTGTGCAGAAAAGCGGATGTTTAGGAACCCGCATCATTCCCGAGAGTACGTAGCTTCGACTTGATTTCATTACCTAAATCTAGCAGTTGCACTCACAACCAGATTTTATTTTCCCCCCCATTGTGAAAGAGACCCTTGTACTTTCGTCTGTGTATTTGAATTGCAATCATTCAATTACTATTCTTTGGTTATTTCGGTAAAGTCACGTATATATAAAAATAATATACAAAATAAAGAGAATAAAAATAATACAAATAAAGTGAATAAATTTTTTTTAAAACGCGAATGTAGACTGTAGTAGCCTGGTTCTTAATCGGAGTGAGTGTACTGGCAATCTATAATGTAGACTGTAGCCTGGTTCTTAAACTGGGTGAGTGTACTGGCAGTCTATAATGTAAACTTTAGCAATGGTTATTAAGTTTGGTGAGTGTACTGGTAGTCTATAATGTAGACTGTAGCCTGGTTCTTAACCTCGGTGAGCGTACTGGCAGTCTACAATGTATACTGTAGCCTGGTTCTTAACCTCGGTGAGTGTAATTCAATTACTCTTCCCGCATATCCAAGGTACCTTTCCTGACAGAGCGGACGACGAATCTCAACGGGCTCTTGGCCACTTAAACAACGGGCACCCCCCCCCCCACCTGCCCGTGTCTCTCAGTGTGCCCGTCCGGTCACGTGCGCACACACGCGCGCGCTCCGTTGCGCGTCACAATCGCTCCCACCTCCTGACGTACGCCTCGAACGTGACGTTGGGCCCCGCTTGTTCCAGCCGGTTGACGCTGAAGCGCAGGCCCAGCGCTATCTGCAGCACGATGAGAAGGGACGAGGGGGGAGGGGTGGCGGCGGTTAGGGGCCGTCCATAAATGACGTCACGCGATTTTGGACGATTTTTGATCCCCACCCCCACTTCGTCACACGGCGTCATAAAAAGTCAGACCCCCCCCCTCAAATATGACGTCACAAAAAGTCAGACCCCCCCCCCCTCAAACATGCTTCAAATCGCTTTAAACTATTGTTATTGTAGTGCGTATTTAATGTGGCGCTGCACTCTGATGTTGTGGGAGAAAACATTTATTAAAAAGTCTATTTCATTAAGTAGAACGTGTTGTCTGTATTTAAAGTTGCGCATTTTGAGGTGAAGTCACATTTCTCAAACCCCCCCCCCCTCGTCACAAATATCTGACCCCCCCCCCCAGGTGCGTGACGTCATATATGGACGGCCCCTTAGGTAAACATGGCATAAGGCCTACTGTAAACTAAGCCATTAAGGTATTACCGCGTTGTTATTCCTCGCACATTCGATTACATTTACGCCCTGTCTCCTCCTGGATTGACGTCTACTGCGATTGACCGGGGTCAGCCGCGAGCCAATTTCCTGCCGGAGGCAGCCGCTTGTGATTTCCCGTGGAGAGAGGAGACGTGGGGGGTGGGGGAGCAGAGGAGCGGCCCCGCATGCGACGGTGGCCTCCTCCTCCACGCGCCACCGCCGCCACCGCTCTGGGTGCTGTCGTCTCAGTCCGACGCGGGGGGTTGGGGCGTCACGGTGGCTAGGGAGATGTTGACTGCCTCGCCTGGTATGCAGGAGGTCGCAGGTTCGATGCTGACCCTGACGATGCATGTATATTTGGAGTTTGTATGTTTCCCCCCCCCCCATCCCCACCTCCTCCTCCCGTGGCCGTGTGGATTTGTCTCCGCGTCCTCCGGTTTTTCCCCTCCACATTTAGAATCAACAACATCACGCGCTTTGAGTATTTGGCTGCAATACATTTCCACGTGATGATAAGCCACTTCACTGGGTGATCACTTATGGCCAGGTCGCTTCTGAAAAACAGCTCAGTGGACCTTACCTGGTAAAATAAAAATAAAAATAGTTTAGTTTAGGCTTGTCGCCCGGGCGGTCTTCACTTCACGAACAATTCGCGCTCAATTCATGCTTCGTTTTCAAAGTCTCAATTTTGGGCCGCGTTGGGAGGGAAGACGAGCGGCGATGCTTTCGTGGTTGCGCTGTCGTTCCTAAACTCTGGCAAGTGCAATTTGGGCTCTTGTATTTACAATAAACTTTAAGCGGAGCAAATGGAACGGCGCGTGTACGTTGCACTTTTCACAGCCTTTCGTCAGGATGTGCGAAACGTAATTTGTGTCCAGCGTAATGATGATTAACGTCAAAACCACACACACGCACACACGTACAAATCAACTGGCTTTACGGGGAGAGGCCTCCATTATTCAGGAACACCTGCACTTTTGAAGAGCATGCAAGTAAAATCATCGGGGTGCACCAATTCACCCAGTGAATTGATGAATAAGTCACCATTCTAGGCCTGGATTTGATAACAGAAGTTTTGTCTCTAGGTTTCACTTTCTCATTTGTATTTAGTTTTCTGTCTCAATTTTGCCCAGATTCCGTTAGCCTAAATGTAACATCAGTGGCGGGGTGGAGCAGTACAATCCCCGTCCTTTGTGACAACGGCGAGTGCTCAATCCTCCCCCCCCCCCCTGCCTGTATCTGAATTACTGTAGCGGGGCAAGGCGGGAGTCGCATTTGCATCGTGGCGTCACGGCGTTACTCGTCACGTTCGCTTACTAGGGAGAGCCTCACCCGAGATTCGAGGCTCTGCTTCAGGAGGGTCGTGACAAGTTTTTTTACGATGCTACTGCTGTTGGCTGGCTGGCTGTGTGCAATCCAAATTGAGCAGCTTGCGGATAATTTTTCCAGCGTTGTGAATGTTTGGGGCAACACCACTTGAAACGGACGTTTGGTTTCTATAGGAGGAAACTGGAGAACCCGGAGAAACCTCATGCAGGACAGGGGGAGAGAGAAACTCACACACCCCACAAAGGCACCCGAGTCAGGAATCGAACCCAGGACTTCTTGCTGTGAGGCACGGGTGTTACCGCTGCGCCACCCTGCTGCATGCAGGGGTTTCAGTTTCAGTTCCATTTATTAGGATTTACCCTGGTGAAGGGTAAACGATAAAGAGTAGTAGGACTGTGATGAATAGTCCCATAACAATGTTTTACATGCTGTCAATAGAGGATTTCCTTGCTACACGCCACCAAGGGCACGCACAGTGAGACGTGGAACATATGGCTGCAGCAGAGTAGGATGCAACCCATAGAGGGTGCAGAGATTCATCGAGCAAGCAAAGCATTTTGTTGAGTTAAGCACGGTTCATCTGATTGTGACAGCGAGCGGCCGATCACCAGGCCACTCTCTGGTGAAAAATAAAACCGTACAAAAAGCGTTGGAACAATAAATCAAAACCAATTCTTCTCCGAGTCCATTCTGCTGCTCCAATGGCACGTGACGCTCATCAGGGCCAGGGAGGTTGCGAGGTGGGAAAAACTTGGTGGCAAGGCCGGGATTCAGCGCTGGGATTAGAGTCCGCGGGAAAGCGTTCTGAGCATGAAATTGTGAATAAAATAAATTAGCGCTAGGATTAAGGACGAAGAAGAGTAAGGACTGGGTATCGAGGCTCGGTGTGAGGGCAGGGAGTAGCTAGAGGCGTGATGAATGGCTGGGAGTTATGGCTGTGGGAGTATTGGGAGGAGAGCTTGGGATTAAGGCTGAGGTGATAAATCCAGAGGTGAGCCGTGGGCTAACGCGTGCTGCGGCGAGACTTACGCTGCTCTGGCCGGCCATGGGGTTGCCCAGGTCGCACAGAACGCTCCTGGATGCATTCTCAGCCTTGTAGGAGCAGCTCAGCAAGCTCAGCGACTGTGGGGCGTCAGAGGGCGATGGGGTGTTGGGGGGAAGAGACCGGGCAGCAGGGTTACAGACGACGCCACCGCCACATGCTCGGGAATTGTTTGTTTTAACAGCAAGTTGTGTTTGAAATACAACTGCTTTTTACGATTTGTTTTTTTTTTCCACCAGGCACATGCATTATTATTGTTTATTGTATCAATACGCACGGCTCTGTTTGACTGGGGAAAATTGTCATATTTAGTTTTATCGACCAATGGACATTGAGGAGGACTGTTTTCTGTCAAAATTAGTTTAAGCTGCAAAACCCAGACTGGTATCGACTTTCCGAGTCTCATCAGCAGGGTGTGGCCAGTTATTTATTTGTACGCGTACGAGTACAACAGTGATTCATACCAACACCGTACATTCACATTTCACAGACATACAGTATCCCCTCGTTATTCGCGAGGGATATGTTCCAGAGATGCTCATGAATAGCAAATTTCAGAGACAATGATAATGGCCTTAAAAAAACAAAGAAATACTTAAATACTACATCTCATAACTTTATCGCATCACATTCTCTCTCATCACTTTACCTCATCACTTTATCTCATCACTTTGCCACATCACATTCTCTCTCATCAATTTGTCACGCCACATTCTCTCCCATCACTTTATCTCATCACTTTGTCGCATAACTTTCTATCTCATCACTTTGCCACCTCACATTCTCTCTCATCAATTTGTCACGCCACATTATCTCCCATCACTTTATCTCATCACTTTGTCGCATAACTTTCTATCTCATCAATTTGTCACGCCACATTCTCTCCCATCACTTTATCTCATCACTTTGTCGCATAACTTTCTATCTCATTAATTTGTCACGCCACATTCTCTCGCATCACTTTATCTCATCACTTTGTCGCATAACTTTCTCTCTCATCAATTTGTCACGCCACATTCTCTCCCATCACTTTATCTCATCACTTTGTCGCATAACTTTCTATCTCATCAATTTGTCACGCCACATTCTCTCCCATCACTTTATCTCATCACTTTGTCGCATAACTTTCTATCTCATCAATTTGTCACGCCACATTCTCTCCCATCACTTTATCTCATCACTTTGTCGCATAACTTTCTATCTCATCAATTTGTCACGCCACATTCTCTCCCATCACTTTATCTCATCACTTTGCCACATCACATTCTCTCTCATCAATTTGTCACGCCACATTCTCTCCCATCACTTTATCTCATCACTTTGTCGCAAAACTTTCTCTCTCATCAATTTGTCACGCCACATTCTCTCCCATCACTTTATCTCATCACTTTGTCGCATAACTTTCTCTCTCATCAATTTGTCACGCCACATTCTCTCCCATCACTTTATCTCATCACTTTGTCGCATAACTTTCTATCACATCAATTTGTCACGCCACATTCTCTCCCATCACTTTATCTCATCACTTTGTCGCGTAACTTTCTCTCTCATCAATTTGTCACGCCACATTCTTTCCCATCACTTTATCTCATCACTTTGTCGCATAACTTTCTATCTCATCAATTTGTCACGCCACATTCTCTCCCATCACTTTATCTCATCACTTTGTCGCGTAACTTTCTCTCTCATCAATTTGTCACGCCACATTCTCTCCCATCACTTTATCTCATCACTTTGCCGCATCACATTCTCTCTCATCAATTTGTCACGCCACATTCTCTCGCATCACTTTATCTCATCACTTTGTCTTATAACTTTATATCTCATCAATTTGTCACGCCACATTCTCTCCCATCACTTTATCTCATCACTTTGTCGCATAACTTTCTATCTCATCAATTTGTCACGCCACATTCTCTCCCATCACTTTGTCTCATCACTTTGTCGCATAACTTTCTCTCTCATCAATTTGTCACGCCACATTCTCTCCCATCACTTTATCTCATCACTTTGTCGCGTAACTTTCTATCTCATCAATTTGTCACGCCACATTCTTTCCCATCACTTTATCTCATCACTTTGTCGCATAACTTTCTATCTCATCAATTTGTCACGCCACATTCTCTCCCATCACTTTATCTCATCACTTTGTCGCGTAACTTTCTCTCTCATCAATTTGTCACGCCACATTCTCTCCCATCACTTTATCTCATCACTTTGCCGCATCACATTCTCTCTCATCAATTTGTCACGCCACATTCTCTCGCATCACTTTATCTCATCACTTTGTCTTATAACTTTATATCTCATCAATTTGTCACGCCACATTCTCTCCCATCACTTTATCTCATCACTTTGTCGCATAACTTTCTATCTCATCAATTTGTCACGCCACATTCTCTCCCATCACTTTGTCTCATCACTTTGTCGCATAACTTTCTCTCTCATCAATTTGTCACGCCACATTCTCTCCCATCACTTTATCTCATCACTTTGTCGCGTAACTTTCTATCTCATCAATTTGTCACGCCACATTCTCTCCCATCACTTTATCTCATCACTTTGTCGCATAACTTTCTCGCTCATCAATTTGTCACGCCACATTCTCTCCCATCACTTTATCTCATCACTTTGTCGCATAACTTTCTCTCTCATCAATTTGTCACGCCACATTCTCTCCCATCACTTTATCTCATCACTTTGTCGCATAACTTTCTCTCTCATCAATTTGTCACGCCACATTCTCTCCCATCACTTTATCTCATCACTTTGTCGCATAACTTTCTATCACATCAATTTGTCACGCCACATTCTCTCCCATCACTTTATCTCATCACTTTGCCGCATCACATTCTCTCTCATCAATTTGTCACGCCACATTCTCTCGCATCACTTTATCTCATCACTTTGTCTTATAACTTTATATAATCGCGGGCAGCCAAAATCGCGGATGGCAAGTTCGTGAGCAACCATGGACTAATACCATGCACGACAATACGTTAAATCGTGGAACAGCGTTAGAATGCAAACCGCACCATGACAGTGCGATTCAGCGGAAAGTAAAAAAATAAGACGCGCAGAAAACACAAACGCATCAAAGTTACCCGGCTCAGCAACAATCACACACTTCCCTTTGGCGAGGCGAATGAGATTCAGAATACTCTTTGGTTCTGTCGGTAAAGTCACCGTAGGTATAAAATAAAATATACCTACGTGACCTTACCGAAAGAACCAAAGAGTATGGATTCCTGCACTCACGAAAGCTTCAAATCGAGAGAGAATCAGAATCTTTATTTATCCTGAAAGAACCCGATAAGCTACGGAGCTCTTTTTCACAGTCGCTTCACGCTGCACCGGACCCTTCGGTACAGCCGTGCGACACTTTGCAACTCACAAAGGTTCTTTTATTTCCGCCACACGTTGGGGCATCGGAGTGGTGGCCTAGAGGCCAGCAACCAAGAGGAAGACAATGAGTCAGATGGCGGGGCACTGTCAGTGTGGATGATACACTTCCAGTGGAGCAGTGGGATTCAGCACTAGATATAATAACCCGAAGCACACTCTCCGATGTTCACATCGTATAAGCAGACGGTTGTTTATTTGTTTCAAAGTGTTGAGGATTCCCGATGAGAGGCGGCTTGGGTGTCTTAGAGGCACGTTCTCTGCTCGCGCCCGAGTAATTGTGGGCCGCCAGATGCCAGTACCACTTTTGCAATATCACCGGCCAAATAACTGTCAAAAGGATATTTTTTTAAATATGAACGTGCAAAAAGGGTCATTTTTACACATAAACGAAGGACCGATCGTAAGCAACAAGGCCTCACAAGTGGAGCTCACGTCTTCCTTATCGCGACAGCCAGAGCGGCGAGATGAGAGAGGGCAGAACATCTCCCACTGCGGGAAGTCATTCCTCTTTTTTTCTCTTTTCAACCAGACTCTCGTAATAAATTCTGTATCCCCCCCCCCCCACCCCTATTTAAACTTTTATTTTCTGCGAAAACACATATCTCAAGCTATTCCGATTACTTTACAGTGGCCTAAATCAGGCAGGCTGTTAAAAGTTAAGTCTGGCTATAAGATGATGACTGCAGTTAACTGTATTCGGCCTGACAGTGGTACGGGAAAAATGCTAAATGCACAATGTAATGATATACATTACTAAATGCCATTGGATTTAGAGATCCATTCGGTCTCAAGAACAGAGTTGTTTTAGGCAATACACTTTGGCACTTTATGACCTCCCATCTATTTTAATAAAGTTTTCCTCATTTTCTAACATTAGACATGCGCGTGCACAGACAGCATGCAGTCCCTGTGCGCTCATGTTTGGCTTCATTAGCGGCACATTAGTTGAAAACGGGGCACAGTAGACGGATGGCAAACATGCGAGCTATCTGATTTGGCTGAACGGACAGGAAACTGCTGCTCTTGCAGCAGGCACAGCTGCGCCGTGGAGCTGACGGCAGTTAAACACCCGGAGGCCACACGGTGCCGCGCCGAGCTCCGTTAGCCACTCCGCTGAGATTTATTTCAGACCGCAGGAGGGAGGGATGGATTATTACATTAATGGAGCAATCGGCGTATTTTGTCCTCGCGGAGAGAGCGGCTATTGTTGACACTGAACACTGAGGGTGGACAAAGAGGACTGATATATGTTTGGCAATAACATTTCATTCTCATATTTTGGCACTGGCAAAGGAGGTCCCATGAAATAACATTTCAATTGTGTGATTGTCCTTTTCGACACTGTCTTTGTCTTTTCGTTAGCCAGGCGAGATAGCTCTGAAAATTATTTCTTTGCGAGGGCCACCTGATTAACCTGGGATATTCTTAAAAAACAAGCCGGAATAATTTTAATTCACACATTTTTTTAAATCACAATTTTAGTTTAGCATAACTTCGTTACGTGGGATTTTGCCACAACCCTGGTACATAATTTCCTGCCCGCATGACAGGGTCTTCAATTCTTATAGGAAGTGGTGCACTCTGGTAATTCCCGACAGAAATTGTGGGAATGTGAACATCGGCTCCAAACACACGGGGCTCGATTGAAATTACACGAACAGCGAAGCTATCCGGT